ATACAGTCAATCCCACAAGTTTATGCACTTTAGAAACGCATTTTTTAAAAAGAAATCAGACGTCGGAAGAACATTGCTAATAATAAACAACAAAAAAATTTTTTCGGTTTTTCCGAGATTTTTCCAAGGGGTATCCCTTCAATTTCTTCCAAATTTTCGTTTTTGGCCAATAACTCCCAAACCGTTGGATATACGGAAAAATTGTATATGACCTTTCTTGTAGAGGATGATGAGATCTACAATTTCTATGTAAAAATTTTTCGCTAGCGTCAATAGTTAACGAGTAATTTGCAAAAAACTATTTTTTCGTTTTTCGTCAATAACTCGTTAAATATTATTGCTAGCGAAGAATTTTTATACAGAAATTGTAGATCTCGTCGTCCCCTACAAAATGGTCCTATACATGCCCCCCTACATCCATCCGTTCGGGAGTTATTGACAAAAAACGAAATTTATTTCCAAAAGTTCGCCGTTTCGACGCTGGGATGGTCGGATTTTGTCAACATCAATAAAATGCCAAATAATCATACGTAACTCGTTAAATATCGAAGTTAGAAGGAAAACAACTTTTATTTGAAGCATTTTTCACAATTTTGTTCATATGCCTTTTGGTATACCACGCTAGTTAAACAAGATGGATAGTTCATTGTTTAGCAGATTGTGTAAGATTAAGCGAACAACGTCCTCGCTAAATCTTATTGCGAGAGAAGTGACTATTTATAAAGTCTAGCCAACATGTATGCATAATTTAATGCAACGTTCAGATTACGTCATTCAGATTAATTAAATGATGGTGAATTTTGTTTTCTGCCGTCCCGAAGATGCAGACGTTTATAGAATCGAAGGTCGTTTTATTCGCCACCTGCGAATCGAGTACTGATCTAGGATAGTCTGGAGAGGGTAAGGTCGTTCGATCGATTCACAAACTGGAATCTTCCGGTGGGACGTCGTGGGTGAAGGTCGCCGTGACTATCAAAACGATTGGTTGCACGAGACAACGTA